AAATAAATATAAAACAAACTTTGGAACAGGAGGCTCCATTCTTACCTCTCTCCTACCAGTATAAATCAAGTGCATTTCCAGTTCCATGAATGGAGTTATATGTTGGATTTCAAAAGCGATACGTTGTCAATTTTCATGATTTGTCATTAGAGTCTTATCACAGGTATTCTTCTCTTTAAAGCCCGAGCTCCTGAAATCATGTTACTAGAGAATGTCATCAAGAAGGAAAAGGAGGAAGGTTCTAACCTTCATGGTTATGGAAAAATAAGACTTGCAAACAAGAACTTTAAAGACTTAAAATCCACAAGTGATAGGACTCTAGTGCAGTCCTTTGTGGAATAAGTAGCATTGGAAATTTAACAATGAAAGCAAAACATTGGTTCTAAACTTAATTTAATAGTGCAAGGTATAACATGCTTTCTATAAACTCTCAATACAGAGAACTCAAATGAAACAGAAAACAATATCATTGTTAGAGATCATGAACCTTCCAGGCCTGTGTGAGTGTGCATTACAGGTGTGCTTGAATCAAGGGAGTAGGCTTTTACATCTGGGATGTGCCTGTGTGTAAACGTGTGTATCCACCTCAGGGCTAAACAAAGCTGATCCTTTCAAATCCATATGGCTTAATGTAAGTTTCACATAAAGAAAGATGTATGATACTAAATATATTCAAATAGGCAGCCATAATATTTCCACATTCTGCCCAACACGCCAGAACACACAGGCTGGATCTAAAAACGTATCTTCTAGTCACCTCCCAGCAACTTAGATGCTAATCCTGTACACACGGCACTTAACACACCAAATATGACTAGTCATGCAAGTGCTTAACCGTTTGTGGGATTCAAGTCTTAGGCCCAAATTCAGGAAGTCACACAAGCACATGGTGAAAGTTAATTATGTGCTTCCATGCTTTCTTGAATCAGAGCCTCAGTTTAAAATCTTAGTTATGATTTTTCTTTTACTTTGATGTTCAGAGCCCAGTTTTCATTATTGGTCATTACTCTACAATTCACAATGAAAACATAAATGGCACCCAGGCTTTAATGGAAGAGATAAAACATGAAATTGTCTTTAAAGTGCAATGGTTATGCTCAGAAAAGTCAGTATTCAAACAAGGTGGACTGGATGCTCTTGTTACAGTAGAACACTGCAGACTTGCACTGCATGTTCCACAATGGAATTTGTACGTCATCAGTTGAATGATCTCTTCACCTATTACAAATACAGTAAGTTAAATATAGTAAGTTTAGTAACACAAGAGAGTACACTTGCGTTCATACACTTCTGTGGGAACCGAGTGCTTGGAAGTCACAATGGCATTCACCTTCCTAGCGAGCTGTCAAGCTTGTGCACCAAAGAAAGAAAGATGCGACAGAAAAAGCAATGAAAGTTTGTTTTCATTCTGTTACTAAAGTTTTAAGCAACATTCATCTTGGTCACCTCCGGTAGCGTGAACCCCAGCAATTACTTGTCTCACAAGCAATACCAAAACGGAACTCCTTTACAACATACAAAACAATTTGGTACACTCTGTGTTAAAAAGACTTTGTTGGAACTAGAAATTTATCAGACACTATGAAAATGATTTAGGCCCCAGCATGAAAAGCCATCCAGATGAAAAGCTGGTAATAAGACTGTTTTAAAACCTGAGAGGTATTACAAGCTTGAGTATTCACTAACAGTAACAAGACAGTAAAGGGAGATGGAGATGAACAAATATCACTAACAAATATCAGCAATTACCCAATTGTTATATATTAACGAATATCAGAGATTAGCAAAGATTAACAAATAACACTGTAGCAAACAGAGAGTGTACAACATTTTTAAAGAGTGTATTTTATCCCACATACTTCAGAGAGACTTGAAGTAAGACACACGTCTGTATGATCCTGGGACAAATACTTTCAGCTGGGACAAATGTAACATCTGTAGCCTCTGAGCTTAAATTTCAAGAGAAAAAGAAAACTATATAAAAGGTTCATTCAGAATGCACTGGAAGTTGCTAATGCACCCAGAAACTGTTACATTAAAGATACTTCTCCCTAAACCCAGTACCTGCTGCAGCTCTTCTTTTTGCTTCTGTGCAAATACTGGCCAGCAGCAAAACATATTAGCAAAATGAGAAAGAAATAACATTTCATGATCTTGCCTTCAAATAGGAAATATAACTTATTACAAATGAAGCTATTGCACATAATTAACAGAAGCCGTCAAGACTCCCCAACAAAAAACCTCTTCTACTTAAGTATAAATAATCCAGTGCCTTTCTTTTCCCCAAGTTTAGTCAGCACTAACCCATCTGGCACAGCTGGGCTTGATGCAGGACTAAGGAAAAGACAGAGGTCCCAGGTGATCATGCCAATTAAAACCAGCTTCCCCATTTGACCACACAAGTTTTGGCTCATGGTGTTACGTTGGTCTATCCAGGAGCTACAGTCTAAAAGAGTAACCTCCTAAATAGACTGTGCCTCCCCAGATGGAAAGGTCCAATCAACCTAGCATTCAGGATACCTCCTCCCAAGATTAGTGTAGCTGAGATCATTCAGTCTCCCCACAGGACAATTTGGACCAAATCTTCCATGGCTCTGTAATCATTCCATGTCATACCAGGTACATTAGAATGCTACATCTTCTCATACTGGTCAAAGGAGGTTCAGCCTAGCACACAGGAGCCTCCAGAAATGTGAAGACAAAGTAAAGATTCTTACACCATCCTCCCTTTCCCTCCTATTGTGATAAAGGCTCAGATTCCCCCACAACCTGCTGCTCAACAGGTACTGCATTGGCTCCTTCCAGACCAATTTAAGTTATACCACAGGGACAGATCAGCACACCACACCCAGCCACAACCAGTTTTGGGAAGCCAATCTTTGTGTTTCCATTCCGGTACTGTGGTGTTCCTCAGCCAAGAATTGGTCTCCATCTCTTAGCAGCATGTTAGCAAGTAAGAAGTAGAACTACGTGACAGCAGCAGTTAGGCAAAGAGGACTGTACTCACAAGCATATGTAAAAATAGTTCCACTGAAGCCAGTGAGACTAGAGTGATAGAAAAGAAAATAATTTGTCTCAACTATACAATAATGAAGAGCTGGTTTTGCCAAAAGACTCTGGAACGCTCATGAATGATCAGATCCGATTTCCTAAGAAATTGAACAGCATACCTCCCACCTAATCAAAACAAAAAGTTAAACGTTAGAGCAAAACGATAATACATCCCTGAGGCTAGTACAAGATATAAACTAAATCTAGGCTACACTAAAGCAGGAATTAACAACTCCCAAACTTAAGCCAAGTAGAGTACTAAAGGTCTTAGCCAAGTGATAAAGCCACATACCTCCCCCTGCCAAAAGATCACTTACTCCCTGCTGAACAAAATGCTTAGCAGCCAGATTTGGAATTGAGCTAACTAGAAGTTTCTATGAGTTTTTTTCCAAATGTTAATGTTGATAGTGTAGGCCAGCGGTTCCCAAACTAATGGTCTCATAGGCCATGGTAAATTGTCCAGAGCAGATCTGTCAAACACATATCTGTCTCGGTTCCCCTTTTCCAATTTGATGTCTGATAAGGGAGCGTGAGCTGTGAGACATTTTGTGAGTGGACAGTAGTCTGTTGATCTGAACCACTGGTTCAGGCTTCCAATGAATTTAATGGAAAATGAGGCAGCTAGGACAACGTGAACTGCCTCTTAAAAATCCTGCCATATAAACGTTTTGAGCTGATACTGTTACTATGATGGTCTCTTGCAAGAAGCAAGAATTATTGTGGCATACCTTTTATTGGACCAATGGTATGGTGGGTATAGCTATAAGCAACCTTTCAGGTATCCCAGCACCCAGAGGCCGGAGGAAGGGTACTGGGATACCCAAAATCTTGCCTATATCTATACCAACCAAAAGGTATCACCCCCAAAATTTTTGCCTCCCACCAAATACATGTTGCCATTTCCCCGCCAAATCCTGTAAAGCCCAGCAATCTCAGCAGAGGCAGAAGGGGCTTGTTATGACAGTTTCCAGAAGTTAGATGAGAAAAATCCATTGCATACAAATTTCACTTGAGCTCATTGTGGCCTCCTCCCTCCCCACACAAATTGATCATCATTAATATTATAGCTAGTTTAGTTGGAGGACACTGCGATTCCAGTATTAAAATACTTTTAGGGACCCTAAATACAAGACTTAAATTTATATCAATTGATTTACATCAAGGTGTCCAGCTCTGTGCCTGCGTCCAGCTGTTCATTCACACTGCTCTGCCAGCATGTCTAGCTACTGGAAACAAAACCAAGAGCTTGAGGAGTTCCCCTGTAGCGCAGAATGAACACCATGACTTTCCACTACCTCCTCTGTAGCCCAGAGTACTGAGGAGAACAGCTGCAATCCTATAGGCAACCAAGCGTGCAAGGCTGCTCTAACTTACAATGGGGGCAGAGCACAGAAATGGGGAGACACCAAGCTGTGCTGAAAGCATGTTTGTACCCCTTCTTGTTCCTGCACTAATCAGAGCTCAGGCGGAAGAAAAGTAAGTAAAGAGAATCCGGCTCTGAGAATATGTAGTTTCAACCCAACATGGAAAAAAATCCTTTACCTTGATATTTGGAACAGGTTTATATATCATAATGAATGCTACATCAAAGAGCGTAGAACAAGTCCAACAGTGCCAGCACTGAGCCCCACAAGAAGCCTCCCCATCTCCTCTCTAGAATGGAGGGGAAAGGACTCTCTCAATGCCTCTTATTACAACATTTGTCAGGGCTGTGAATGAGGAAAAATTAAAATAAAAATAACAACTAGGGATTGGTTTGGTTTCGTCATAAAGCAAGCAGAGTCTGCAATGAAAAAATAAAT